GCAGTTCTGAAGGCGAAAGGGGGTCAAACACCGTATTAGTATGGTGTTCCTAATAATCCTTTAGGTGAGTGTATATAATGATTTGTCGTGATAATTACCAATATTGACCATTAAGAAAATTTTTATCGTGATAACATTTTTGGCCATATCACCCAGCCCTAATATCATGTAGCATGTTGTGTGCCATTAGTGAATATGACACTTGTGGTAATGCTCATTTCCTGCTGACCCTTGTTGGGTGTGTGTTACAGGCTACTTTGCGAGACAGGCTGGAAGAAGTCCATAACTTCTTCTGCGTCAGTGGCAGCTGCCGACTCCCGCTGAACCCTGGCCTAATGGTGAAGGACATCAACATCCAGGTAAACCTTTCCGGTGTCCATAAATCAGGGTTTAGGTATGTGTCACTTTACACAACAGATACATCCTCAAATAAGCCAAAGAAAAGTGCCATGAAAATGACATTTTTATAAGAATCTCATTATGTTTATTTCATTCAGTGCCATTTTGCACCTGATTGTGTGTTATCATGGATAACAGCCACAAAAGTCATTTGGATGGCAACAGTACAATGCTTATTTACGTAATTAAGATCAGCAAAAGTTAGATATAAATTTTTGTAATATTAATGTCACCAAATATTATATAGTCTTTTTAAGAAATGTGGCCCATTCAGACAACTTTGCTTCTTCAGCCACTCTCCTCTTCACTCTTACAGGGCTGTTCCTACTTCAACTCAAATGCCGTCCCCCTCAAACTCTCCTTCCAGAACCTGGACCCTCTAGGAGACAACATCAATATCATATTCAAGGTATTTTTTACAGTTTTCTGAAGGTCTTTTTTATGACTGTTTTGTGAAAAGATATTAGTTTTCTTCATTTCCTTATGATATTGGAAATTTGTGATTTTAGTCTGGGGATGACCTGAGACAGGACATGCTCACCCTTCAGATCATCCGTATTATGAATAAGATCTGGATTCAGGAGGGCCTGGACATGAGGATGGTCAACTTTCGCTGCTTCTCTACAGGACGTGGACGAGGTCAGTCCTTCTTAGGGACTTTCTCCAGACTTCTGGAGAAATGTTAGGCTAGGGACTAATTGGATGTTTGCTTGTGTTATCCTGGATCTGTTTGACAAATAATCTGTACTCTTCCTTTGCTGCCTCAAGGAATGGTGGAGATGATTCCCAACGCAGAAACCCTGCGTAAGATTCAGGTTGAGCATGGTGTCACCGGGTCCTTCAAGGATCGGCCACTAGCAGACTGGCTGCAGAAGCATAATCCCTCTGAGGATGAGTATGAAAAGGTAATAACCAGTGGGTACCTTCTTCCTGTGGCTTAGACACATTTCAGACCATGTAAATCAGTTTCTGATGACATCTCACCTAGAATTAAGATTGTTGGTGCATGTAGATGTTACTACTTTTCCCTTCCCGGAATTTCTCAGGCTGTGGAGAATTTCATCTACTCCTGTGCGGGATGCTGCGTGGCCACCTATGTCCTGGGTATCTGTGATCGACACAATGACAATATTATGCTGAAGTCCAGTGGCCATATGTTCCACATAGACTTTGGCAAGTTCCTTGGCCATGCACAGATGTTCGGCAATATAAAACGGTGAGAAAATCAGAGTGGATGCTGAGTGATGGTGGCTGATGGATCGCCACTTCTAAACAAGAACAATATGGTGCAAATGTCTTTGGCAAATATGTGTAAAGATAGATTTATCTAGGTGTATATGTACTCAGGAAAAAAAGAGTCTAACCTTAGATTACATGTAAATGGGCAGTAACAAATTAAAAAAAGTATTTCTTCTGTTCTTCAAAAAGTTGCTGATATATTGTTGTGTAGCCAGTAGAACACCACGTCAAGCCTCTCAACAAATTTATTTTTGTATAGTGCATTACATTGCATTGCATTACATTGTCTCAAAGCGCTTTACAGCATCCCCACCCAAAGCCCCCAGTGAGAAAGCCATAGGCGACAGTGGCAAGGAAAAACTCCCTAGAAGGAAGAAACCTTGGAGGGCCCAGACTCAAAGGGGGAGCCCATTCTCCTGGGGCCAGCAGGGAAAGTCAAATCAGAGAGATGGCTAAGTGCCAAGTCACACTGTCTAAGTCATAAGATTTGAAACCTTCAAACCTTTCGCCAATAGCTCATTTAATTAACTTAATTATATTGTCATATAATTAGTTATATTAATTGATAATAATTTGATAAGGTATTGATTATCCAAATATGATCTGCTAGTGGTCAAGCCAAAAAAATAGGAGTATTGGATATTTTACTGCAAGTAAAGGGGTGACTTTGAAAGCCTTTTAAATGGTTATGCTAACATACTATGACAGACGTAATAGTTTTACATTAACATGAAGATGATGTAAATATAATCTTTGACTAAGACTTTTGCACAGTACTGTATGTAGTATATAATATCTGCAGTGTCTTAAAATTGGGGAGAAGATAACTGCTACCTCTTACCTTTTTTATTCTGTAACAGGTATAATTTTTTTTTTAAATTACACTACAGAACAGTGTTTATGCTCCTTTTTAAGTTTTTAAGCTCAGAAATTGACTTTGGTTGTTGCAGGGACCGGGCTCCATTTGTTTTTACATCTGACATGGCTTATGTCATCAATGGGGGTGACAAACCATCTAGTCGCTTTCATGACTTTGTGGACCTTTGCTGTGAGGCCTACAACCTCATCCGCAAACACACGCACCTGTTCTTGAACCTGCTTGGATTGGTATGATCTTTCTCTCTTTCCCAAGTCACAAATTCACTTGGCTAAATTATTCCTGCATTACATGTGGCCAAAAGTATTCAGACACAAGCTTGTCAACATCTTGTCAACATCTTCTGAAACCAATGTTATTAATATGAAGTTTGTTTGTCCTTTGTCAGTAGAATAGCCTCTACCCTTCTGGGAAGGCTTTCCATTAGATGTTGAAGTGTGCTGCCATTCAGGTTGAGTATTGATGTTGGGTGATCAGGGGCCTCATGTATAAATGGTGCGTATGCACAAAAATGTTGCGTACATCCGTTTCCACGCTCATGTCGAGATGTACTAAAATTAAACTTGCCGTGCCGCTATACATATTCTCACGGCAGCTCCAGACATGGTGTACGCACGTTTTTGCTCAGTTTTGTAAACGGACGGCACTCAGTGGCAAGTCATTGCTACTGTGGTTTCCCTTTTTAAACTCATGACGCTTACTTTATCCAATACAACGACATTAATTGTATGTTGTTTACAAATGTACGGCACCTGATTTTTTATCAATTTGCAACAATAAAACGGTGCAGAAAATGACCAAACTATTACAACTACCATGTTAGCTTATGGAGGAATTAGAGGAGAATGCGTATTCAGGGATCATAGTGATTTCTTGGCCCATGATAATGACTGGCTTCTAAGTCGATTCAGATTTCCAAGAGCAATCCTTTTGGAGCTGTGTGCTGAACTGGGGCCAGCATTACAAAAGCAGACAATGAGGAATTGCGCTTTACCTGTTTCTTTACAAGTTCTGTCCACTCTTGAGTTCTTAGCCACAGGTGCTTTTCAGCGAGAACTTGCAGACCGATCGAGTATTTCTCAGTCAACACCAAGTCGCGCCATGCCAGCTGTATGGGACGGCATAATCCGCTTGTCACCCAGATATATAAAATTTCCTTACACTGTGGTTGAACAGGCAAACATTAAAGCGCAATTTGCAGCGATGTCCGGTTTTCCCAATGTAATCAGAGCTATCGAATGCACGCACATTGCTATAAAGGCACCTTCAGAGAACGAATTTGCTTATGTAAATAGAAAGCACTTTCACTCTATTAATGTACAAATTATGTGTGATTCGAACATGTGTCTCATTAATGCATGGGCGTCACCGCCATTAAACGTGTCCCCCTCACATTTCATAATTATTCGTTTGGATCCTCCCACATTTAACATAAAATATTAGATTTATGCCAGTGTGTCCCCCCACATTCAAAATGCTTCTGACACCCCTGCATTAATGTTGTGGCTAGACGGCCTGGCTCAACCCATGATTCGTTCATTCTCAGAAACATTAGTGTTGTTAACAAACTTGAAAATGGGGTGGTACGTGATGGCTGGCTGCTCGGTAAGAAGATTTTTCCCATTTTATAATTTGGCCCAATATTGTAAGCTTTGTTTGATTTAACTATTTGACAACTCCTTAGGGGACAGTGGGTACCCACTGAAGTCTTGGCTTCTCACGCCGCTCATAAACCCACAGAATGAACAAGCGCGGCGTTATAATGATGCCCATTCTCGGGCTTGGGCGGTGGTAGAGTGCACTGTTGCATAATCTGGCACAAAATCATGGCTTGCCGGTATCTGAAGAGCTTAGGCAAGATGAACCTGACCCACCAAATTTTCCGCCAAATGGAACAGCGTTACAACGTCAATCACACAACGTATTTAGGTGTTTTAATTCATTGGCAACATCTTACAGCATTCACAATTTCTTTTTGTGACTGCATCACAGCTTCAATCATCACACGGCCGGGTGGTCGCCCCCCAGTTTCTGAGGCACTGGAATGTGTGCAGCCAGCACCCAAAAATGTGCTCGGCACAGCAGCACCATCACCGCCTGTTTCTTCCTCGGCACTGGGGGCACCTCTTGTACTATTGTCTGTAAGAATAAACAAACAGAATAAACAAAAGCAACACCTCATCTGCGCCCTACTTGTTATTCATAAACATGCAAGTAATTCAGACAAGTATGGTACGAGAAAAACTCACCCGCGCTGACATCGGCGTCCCCCTCACCTGATTAAAGTGTATCCCCAATAATTGCAGCAACTCGTTGCTCAGAGTGTGACACCGGGAATTCCACTACCTCCGCCTGTGGTGTGAAGACTGTTACAGTTAGCGGCCACTCATTTTTTCACGTCAACTTTAATATCCGACCAGTTCTTTTTAATTTTGCCCACTGTACAAATTTTGGAACCAACAGTTTTAACTGACTCCGCCACGCTGTGCCACTCCATCAACTTCCGTTTATTGCTAATGCCACTACTTAAACCACCAAATAATATCACTTTTATAACACTTATGAAATAATTTCTCGATTTCTGTTAACATGGCCTCCACTTCGCACTTGCTGAAATACTTCTTTTTCCTACGTGGTTTATCCATTGTTGTTAAAGAAAAACATAGAACAAAGTGGGTATTTATACAAATTTACATATGCAAATATATATAATTATCGGCGGGTCGGGGGGTGGTTGTGGGCTTGTTCACGTGCATAAAATTTCACGCTCATTGGGATTTATAAAGGGAATGTGCATAGATCTGTGCTTATGCACAGTTTTGTGCATCTGGATTTTTTCTTGAGTACACACATCACTAGTTTTTTCCGTACGCCATGTTTTAGTGTGAATTCTACGCACGTCGTTATACATGAGGCCCCAGGTCCCTTTCTGTGAGCTTGGCTACCACTTCACAGCTGAACTTGCTCCCAGACATTTCTACACAGACACTACAGCCACTACACAATTACTTTAGTCACTTCACATTGACCAGTGCAGAAATGTTCTAGACATTAGTAACTGTTTTTCTGTAACCACCCATTCTGCTGGAGATTGCATGGCTGTGTGTTTAATTATAGTCCTATGTCAGCAATGGGTGTTTTAGTCTGTTGACATTTTGGATATTTGTTTATGACTCAACATAAGAAATTCTTGACTGAGTGATTAGTCTCTGTCTCAATGCTTTTTCTCTTATTGATGTGACAGATATTTTGCCCAGTTGCCTTACTTATTTACTAGCAAAATATGAAAAACAGGAACTGTAATAATGTACAAGTGTTAAGTAGATCAAAGTAAAACCATGCAGGCATTCAGTATTTACATTCATGACATCACTTATAGCAAGAGTCTGTCTGTTTGACTTTTTAATGTGCAGATGCTGTCCTGCGGCATTCCGGAGCTGTCTGATCTGCAGGATCTGAAGTATGTCTATGATGCCCTGCGGCCTCATGAGTCTGAGTCTGATGCCACCATGTACTTCACCAGGTAGACAAAGAGCTTTTAAACATTGGTGGATTCTTGTCCTTTTGTTGTATCACTTTGGTCACCATTACCTGCAGCTCTATATTGTTCTCCTTGTAAATAATATTTATGGTGTATTAAAAACAAAAGCATTAGGCTGTACAGTAGGGGGATTCCTTTTCATTATTATACCTATGGTGTTATGATCTGCGTGCAGATGAACGGGGAAGCAGGCAAGCGGAGTCATGAAGTCCAATAAACGTGGATTTAATGGTCACAGACGGGCAGAACAGGACAGGCACTACGCAAACCAACATTAATGACCGATCTGGGAAACAGTGGGAGATGCGGACTAATATGGACAGGATACGGTGAACAGAACAGGCCACAGATGAGAACAATTAGGGATGAACATGAGGTAACGAGGTGGGCGTGGCACACATTAGGATCGGATGGAGCGGGGCGTGACATAACCCCCCCCAAAGGCACGCACACCGGGCGCGCCCGAGAGGAGGCGACGGACGAGACGAGACCGGGGAACAGGACCAGGAAGACACAAAACAGGAACAGGGACGAGAAGAAAGACAGGACCCAACAGAGCACAGGAAAGGCAGACAGACAGACAGAGAAGGGAGACACAGAGGGCACAGAAGGAACACCCACAGGCGACACGAAGGGGCCAGGAGTGAACAGAGGACCCACAGGAGGAGGAGGAGCAGAGACAGGAGGGAGAAAGGCAAAGGGAGGTGGAACTAGGGGAGCCCGAAGGAACCTCGACAGGCAGCGGCCGGAGGGGCCGCAGGCGAGAGGGAGGAGGGAGCAGGAGGGGACCACCCAGGGGCCAAGGGAACGGGACGAGGGAGTGACGGAGGGGACACGGAGGGAGCAGGAGGGAACACCAGTGCAGGCAGGCAGGAGGGGGAAGTCGCAGCAGGCGGAGGCGCAGCCGGAGCCGGGGAAGGCGCCGTCCGACGCCAAGCCGAAGCAGGGGGGCCCGGAGGCGGCCGACACGGAGGCGGGACCGAGGATCATGTGGCCAGCAGGGGGCGCAGTCGCGGGCACCTCGGGCGGTGCCGCAGGCAGAGCGGCGGCAGCTGCAGGGACCGCAGGCAGAACGGCGGCAGCTGCAGGGACCGCAGGCTGGGCAGGCGGGTCAGGCAGGACAGGCGGGTCAGGCAGGACAGGCTGACCAAGAGGCGGCAGCAGCAGGCGGTGCCGCGGGCAGATCAGCGGCAGCAGCAGTAGGCGGTGCTGGCAGGTCCGGCGCAGGCAGGTCCGGAGCTACCCCTTTAAGGGCTCTAGGGACCCGGGGAATAGCGTCCCTTATGGCGCGTATCCCGCCTAGACCCAGACGCGCCGGCCGGTAATAGTAAGCCTCCAACGGTGATGGCTTCTCCGCGTGGAAGCTCGCCAGGCGGGCAGCGGCGGTGTTGTCCCAGGCGGGCGGTGAGCTTTCGTGCTCACCAGTTAGCTCCCAGGCGGGGAGCAGAGAGCAGGCTCCCAGGAAGAACGTCAGGGTGGCTGCCTCTCCTTTTCCCCTTCGCCTCTTCTTTTTACGCCGCCCGGAACCTGTTGGAGGAGGCGGGGTTGCCTCCGCGCAGGCGAGTGGCTGGAGCCGCTTCTCATCGAACTGCCGGACAAGCTGCTGTAGCAGGGAACGCACCTCCGCCATGATGCGTTCCTCTGTCTGGGGGTTCACTCCTTGGAGGAGATCCCAGCTTTGTTCCACCAAGCCGTACAGAGCTGGGTCGTCTTGGATTTCTGGCTGCTCTCTCCAGTATGCTACCTCATGCAGCAGGACGAGCCAGATGTCCTCGTCCCGCTGCGTTGCGTCTTTCGAGAGATCGGTCATTCTGTTATGATCTGCGTCCAGGTGAACGGGGAAGCAGGCAAGCGGAGTCGTGAAGTCCAATAAACATGGATTTAATGGTCACAGACGGGCAGAACAGGACAGGACAGGCACTACGCAAATCAACATTAATGACCGATCTGGGAAACAGTGGGAGACGCGGACTAATATGGACAGAATACGGTGAACAGAACAGGCCACAGATGAGAACAATTAGGTATGAACACGAGGTAACGAGGTGGGCGTGGCCAGGGGCGGATTAACGCACAGGCTAGATATGGCTTAAGCCTAGGGGCCCCACGTGTGCCTGCCTGCAAGGGGGCCCCCATTGGCGCGGAGGGGGGTGGGGTTGGGGGGCCCACAGACTACTGTAGCCTAGGGGCCTCTGTGCACCTTAATCCGCCCCTGGGCGTGGCACACATTAGGATCGGACGGAGCGGGGCGTGACATATGGAAGTTATGATATGTATTTTCTCACTGAAAATGGTAACCACAAAGCAATCGCTAACTCAATAAAAAGATTTTGTTTTTCTCATTTTGTCAGTTTTATAACCTTATTCAGTATAACCTGTGCTCCATCTGGAGTTTCAGGAAAAGTGCAATAATCACAGTCCTAAACTTTTGAAGAATTGCCACCCCTTCTGGATTTTCTCACAGGCTAATTGAATCGAGTCTAGGCAGTGTAGCCACCAAGCTGAACTTCTTCATCCACAACCTGGCGCAGATGAAGTTTGCTTCTTCCGAAGAGCAGCCTGTGCTGTCATTTGCCCCGCGTGTGCACACCCTGAAGAGTGATGGGCTCATCCGCAGCCTTTTTGTGTGCCGGCACATCAGAACCTACAGCCCCAACAAGGGTTACGTAAGTCATGCTTCATGCCAGTCACACTACAACAACAAACAAACAAATTAATTTTTGTATAGCGCATTATCACAACATTACATTGTCTCAAAGCGCTTTACAGCATCCCCACCCAAAGCCCCCAGTGAGTAAGCCATGGGCGACAGTGGCAAGGAAAAACTCCCTAGAAGGAAGAAACCTTGG